CTCTAACATGGTAAGAATGGATCTATCTCTAACTGGTAAGACCCAATTGTTAAAAGACTCTGAAATATTGTTTAACAATCTATTACACTTTGTTTTGGGATTGAATGCATGCCTATACCACTGAGCTGGATTAAAGTCTTATCGTCCAATCATATGCTCTACTGTCTATACTATGCAACTTAGTCATATGTTTATCCTAATCAACCCTTGGATATGCCTTTGCAGCTTTCCATACACAACTCTTTAGCTTTTTCCCTCTAAACTCCTTTTTGAAATTTGCATAGAGATGTCTGACACAAAGCCTATAATGGCCTTCAGGGCACAATTCTTCAAGAGTTAGAACCAGTCCTTGCAAAACATAAATATCAAAATCATGAATAATGAAAAACATTAAGGAACATAACAGAATAATGAAAAAACCATTAAACATAAATAAAACCTTTTGTTGATTGGTGATGAAGGTCTATCCATGCCCTGCACTTGTGCCAATACATTCAAACAAATTCTCTACAAACCAAGTTTCTTTATTCTCACTCTCAACCACTGCATAAGTAATTAGATACATCATGTTGTTTCCATCCCATCCCACAGTAGCAAACAATTGTCCTTGGTAAGGTCCTTTCAAATGACAAGCATCCAAGCCAATCAATGGCCTCACACCAGCTAAAAACCCTCTTATGATTCCATCAAGGCACATAAACATTCTCTGGAACCTAAGCTTAATTTGAAGTTGAGGCCTCCATATATTGATGTAAACTCTTGAACTTGAATTGGTCCTTATCAACTCAATAGCATAATCCTATAGTTTTGTATATTGTTCAGCATTTGTTCCCTCAAGTTGCACCAATGCTTGTTTCCTAGCTCTGTAACATTTCATTTTGGATACTTCTACAACACAGTCATCTTTCACAATGTCCTTAAATTCATTTATTTTCCAGGTAGGGGTGGTCCTGAATTTGTTCACATACTTAGATGCCAAAAAAACACTAGTTACTTGTCTGTTTTTGTAACTTTTGTTGCAAGTGTGTGTAGGTTCGTATGTCTTAATTGGTAATGTGTTCTCTCCACTCATCTTAGAGACATAAAGCCTCCACTCACACCCATCACTACAGTTGACTTGAACCTTCCGTGTCTTACTTTTGGTGAATTTGACATCATAGCCCCCTTTCACTGCATATTCCCTCACAGCATCATTAAATTCAATGGCATTATTAAATAACATTCAAATTTTAAATTCAAAATTAGCCTTATCAACCTCAGGCCTAAATTCAGGGTACTTTGGCTTCCCATTACCCTCCTCATCAGATAATTCAGGGGTTAATAATTCATCCTCAGATGAATCTTCATCATTCACAACATATTCCTCAAATGCATTGCCTCCTTCTCCATTTGGTTCCTTCTTTACATTACCATCAAACATGATCTCAGCATCAGTAGGGTCATCCTCACCCTTAGTACTAGCTAAGAAATCACTATCTGATGAGTCATCATTTTCCTCATCTTCACTGTTTGCTTCATTTTCATAGTCATGAGACTGAGGATGTTGAGCATTTTCATCATCATTTACAGGAACATCAGTAAGGAACAAAATAGGGTAAAGGGTGTCTACATTGTGTGGCATATGATGCTCAACAAATAATTCTAATCAGCGTGTTTGGTTTGAGTTTTCTGGATTAAGTTTTTTGAAAACTGTTTTTTTTTTGTTTTCGTGTTTTTTTATTTTTAGTGAATATTTTTTAAATTTTAAATATTTTTTTTTACTTTTTTAGATGCACCTTACTTAGATGTATCTAAAAAGTAAAAAAATTTGGAAAAAATATTTTAAAAAATTAATAAATACATAAAAATACAAAAAATGTACTGAATTCTTGTATTTTTTTTTTGTATTTTTGGTATTTAGTGAATTTTTAAAAGATTTTTTTTTACATTTTTTTTACTTTTTAGGTGTATTTATGTTAGGTGTGTCTAAAAAGTAAAAAAATTACTTAAAATATTAAAAAAATTCAGTAAAAACAAAAAAATACGAGACATAAGAAAGTAGAATTTTCTAAAAAGTGTTTTTTAAAAAGTGAAAACAAGCAAAGTGAATGTGTTTGCAAAGGCTAGATATTGAAACATTTCTAAAATATCTTGGTCAGTACCTAATCTTCTTAACCCTTTAACCAGATCTTTTGTGGGAATCCTATAAAAAAACTGTTTGAAATCACATATCCCCAACTTCTTCACCATATATATCAGCTCAGGCGCATAAAATGTATGAGCATCAACAGTATCAAACACATGTACTTTACCCTAAAGTAACTCATAGGCCCACCATCACTATCTACAAAATACCCACTGTGATGTAAAACCAATTTCATATTTATATCATCCATTGCTACATTTACAAATAAATAAATATATCACCAAAAAAAAAAAATGCATCAAAAATCAATGGACTGAACAAGTGGCATGAGACCAAAAATGGAGATAAAAAATTTGATAAATCAATAGTCCATCACTCAATCAATGCAGCGTGGTCCAACCACTCAGTTAATGCAGTGGTCCATCAATGGAGATAAAAAATTTCATAAAGCATCCAAGACATTAAAGTAACCAACACACACACACATACCCATGCAATAAAGTAAGATACAAACACCCTAAAAAATTTCATAAAGCATCCAAGACATTAAAGTAACCAACACACACACACATACCCATGCAATAAAGTAAGATACAAACACAGAGTTTGCCATTACTTTATTTACAGAATCAGAAAAAAAAAAGAAAAACTTCATATACAAATTACAAGAAGAAAGAAACAAAACAAATCATATAAATCACTTACCAACACTTCAAATAATAGTGACCAGTAGATTTTCTTCCAAATCGCAATAATCCCTTTGCCCTAAATTGACGAAATCGAAGAAATTAGGGCAAATTGTAGGCTTAATTGGTGAAATTCAGGATTTGAGGATTTTTATATGGGTTCAATAAGGAACGTTGTCGTTTTGGGTTGGTTTAGGTGTCAAAAATAGCTTTCTCCGTAACTTCAAGAAACGGAGATAGACGGGGAGGGGGGCTTACATCGTGACACAGAATGAATTACCGGGTTCACATTGTCAAAATTAAAAACTTGGGATTTAATTTGCAAAACACACTAAACCTTGGGGCTTTATTTGTAATTTGCCCAAAAATATTTCAAAAAATTAATAAATACACAAAAATATTAAAAATATATTGAATTATGTTTTTTTTTTTGTATTTTTGTTATTTAGTGAATTTTTTTTTAAAAAATTCACGAACATTATATTTTTTAGGTGTATTTATATTAGGTGTGTCTAAAATTTTTAAAAATTACTTAAAATATTAAAAAAAATTAGCAAATATAAAAAGAATTCAAAAAAATAAGAAAGTAAATTTTTTTAAAAAAAAATTATTTTTAAGAAAATTCAAATGCAATGTGTTTGGTAACATTTACGTTTTCAGTTTATATTTACAAAAATTTTATAAACTGATTTTTGTTTATTTTTATTTATTTTTAGAAAACATAAACTACAACGCGTTTGGTAATTGACAAATATTTAAAAAAAATTTAAAAATATAAAAAATAGTAAGAAATGACAAGTGGTGGCAAGTGGCAGCGAAAGACGGTGGTGGAAAGTGGTGACAGTGGGTGGTGGCGGGTGGTGGTGGTGGGTGAGTGGGTGACGGTGGCGAGTGGTGAGTGGAGCGAGTGGGTGGCGTGGCGGTGGCGGGTGCGGTGGCGGTGGTGGTGGGCAGGTGGGTGGCGGATGGCCGGTGGTGGTGGTGGTGGTAGTGGGTGGGTGGGTGATGATGGCGGGTGGTAGCGAGTGGTAGTGGTGGGTGGTGGTGGTGGCGGCGGTGGCGGTGGTAGCGAGCAGGTGGTGGTGTGGTGGCGGGTAGCGGTGGTGGTGGTGGTGGTGGGGGGTTGGTGGGTGGTTGACGGTGGCGGGTGGTAGGTGTAGCGAGTGGGTTGTGGTGGTGGTGGGTGGTAGCAGCAACTGGGTGGCGGGTGGGTGGTGGGTGATGGTGGCTGGTGCGTGGGTGGCTGGTGGTGGCAGGTGGGGGTGGTGAGTGGTGGCGGCGGGCGGTGGATGGTAGTGGTGGGTGGCGGATGGATGGCAGATGGGTGGTGGTGGTGGTGGTGGCGAGGGGTGGGTGATGGTGGCGGGTGGTGGAAATGGTGGCGGGTGGTGACTAGTGTTGGGTAAAAAAAAAAAAAACTCAAAACTCAAAACGGAAACACATTTTTTGGCCAAATTTTTAAACTGAGACCATTGATTTATAAATCAAAAATTTTACCAAATAAGTTTTTATTTGAGTTTTTAAAATTTTGTAAATATAAAAAGAAAACTGAAAACGTCAGTGTTACCAAACGGCACCAAAGTGATTAATATTTTAATTCAAATCAAGAGTTATTTTGAGGATTGACTTTCTAAATATTTTTTTACAATAATATTTCACTTTGCTTGGTTCCTATTTTTTAAAAACAGTTTTCAAAAAATTTTACATTATTATTTTCTGTGTTTTTTTGTTTTTACTGAATTTTTTTAATTTACTTTTTAGACACACCTAACAAAAATATACCTAAAAAGTAAAAAAATTATAAAAAAAATCTTTTATCAATTCACTAAATATTAAAAATACAAGAATTTAGTACATTTTTTATATTTTTATGTATTTCTTAATTTTTTAAATATTTTTTCACAATTTTTTTACTTTTTAGAAACATCTAAATAAGGTACATCTAAAAAAATAAAAAAAAAATTTAAAATTTAAAAAATATTCATTAAAAACAAAAAAATACAAAAATAAAATAGGTGCATCAAAAAAATAAAAAAATATTTAAAAATTTTAAAATATTCACTAAAAACAAAAAAAATACAAAAATAAAAAAAACTCTATTTTCAAAAAAATTTAATTCAGAAAAATCAAACCAAACCGAACCAACACAGTGAATAATAATAATAACAAAGGCCTAAAATCTAATCCTTTGATGGGTACCGGATAGAAATCTATGGCACAAGATTTCTCAAAATTTGAATTTCAATCCGCGGCAATAAGCAACAGACCTCTGCCATGTCCCCCTCTCTCTCTCTCTCTCTCTCTCTAGACTACATTTGACAGCATCCACGGCGTGTTGATTCTCCGAAGATGACAACCCTAGAGAAGCTATTCGTCCAGATCTTCGATCGAAAGAATCGGATCATCGAACAAGTCGACCAACAATCAGACTTGTACACTCGACACCTCGTTTCCAAACTTCTCATTGATGGAATCACTCCTCCTTCATGGCTATGGAACCCTAAATTCGACTCTCAATCTTCAGATCCCAAAGGTACTCTCTCTCTCTCATGTTCAAGCATTTAGGGTTCTTTTGGTTAGCGTAAAGAATTCAATTTGTAATTGCGATACTCAAATCTATAATTTTGATCATCCGGACTGAGCATAATGCAAAAGTTTACGACTTTGTTGAATTAAGCTTTTCAAACACTTCAGATATTAAATCAATAGATTGAATGAGTTTAAAATTTTAGTTCTTTTTTATTTTTTTTTTTCTCGCATTTTCAGTAACCAAGTAGTGTTTCAATTTCATTCAAATTTCTTCTCGACTGGTGTCAAGATGCATCTACCCATTTTTGTCCTATATGGGTCTTAGACAAACATTGCACACGCAACTATGAATTTTTATTTAATTTTGGAATTAATTTTAGGCTGTGTTTGGATCATGGATTTGGAAAGGGAAAAGGAAAATGTAGGTGAAATATAGGTGAAATGTAGCTATATTTCATTCACATTTCACTCATTTTTCCCTTTCCAAATTACTGCCCGAATTCATAATCCAAATACAGCCTTAATAGGTTCTATATTTGTTCTTCTAAACTCACTCACCCCTGACCTTCCATCTTACTTGGGAAAGCCAATACTGAAGGCCCAAAATGGATGCACTTGTTTGAAATTTGTTGAAGCCAACACTGAAAGCATGTGCAACGCACTTGGTTATTTCCATTTCAAGTGCAGTGGTGCTATAAAAAAATAAAATAGAAATGAAAGTAGATGTCTGTACAAGATATTTTCCTCGAGTATTGTCACAAGTTATTGATTTATTATCAGCCTAGCGGCTTTTAATTTCTTTAGCTGCTAATAATTCACTTGGCTGGGGAACTTTCACTTTTAACCAAAAAGCTAAAAAATCACTATAAATTGTCACATCACTTTCTTTACTTTTTGCACATTTTTTTTGTAAAAAATCTAAAAGTTTTTAAAATAGCCTGTTCACAAATGAGTTTTGTGATATTGCCAAAAAAGGAATTCTGAGCACACAGCAGTATGCTTGGCTACATGTTATGTTTCACACTGACATGTTTTTGTATGATGATAAAATTGTGATTTATCAAGTCAATATGATGACTAGGGTCAAAACTGAAAATAATCGATTGACTTCTAAGGAACTTTATTTTTGTGTCTTGTTGGGAGGCCATCAGGTCTAAGACCTTCCTTAGTTCTTAAAGGTGCACAACATCTTTCTGTCATTATTATATCATCAAATGGCCATCCTTTTGTAGCTTCCTCTAACAACATTGATCATTGCAGAGCTGAATAAAGAAGAGCTGATTTCTGAACTTCTACTTCCTCATCCACAACCTGCAGTCCCATATTCAGGCGCTCACTACCCTCTGTACAATAAGCCACTTGTCATAGGAGATAATGGAGAGTCATCAGAAGGGTTGTTTACGGGAACCCATGCACCCAACAGAGGTTTCAATACTGGAGATAGGCCAACAACTGTGTCTGAGTGCCATGATAATGACATTGAATGTGCCTTAGATTGTGTCCCTGAGCTGGACCTGAGTGTTACATCTCCTCAGTGGCAGATTGATGCAAGCATCTCAAACATCTGTACTGCACCAGATGAGTCACTTGCCAGGATACAGAGGTCCAAGTCAAGGCAAAAGGCTCTAGAGCTTCGCAAATCTGCGAAAGCAACACCTAAAAGCCGTTTTGCCGATGAGAATGACATTGGTGCTTCTTCTAGTGCAATTAAAATATCTAGGATTGCTTCCCAACAGCTTGATTGTGATGATGCAGTGAGACAGGCAAAAGTAGAATGCTTAAGCAAGGAAAAGGATGCTAACATTTATTGTGGTAGAATTACAAGATCTAGAAGTTCTTGCAATCTATCTAGTCGTGGTAGTAAACCTTTGAAGCTTCTTAGTTCTTCTGATATTGCTAAGGAAGATGGTGCCAGAAAGACAATGTCACAAAGTGCTTGTATTGAAGGAGTATCAAAGCCTGTACATTCATCGAATACTGCCAGCCAACGAGTGACGCGATCCAAATCTGGTGCTTCTAAAAAGTCTCTACTCGTTAACTCATTAAACATGTTGGAAGGACTACTCATTCAGAATGTGTCAGGTGGTGACATAATCCCACATTGTCCCGACACTGATGCTATTGCTAACCAGGAAGGAAAGGCTGATTATGTCACAGAACCAGACCGTATTTTAGATGGGCCAGTTGATGCTCGAGCAGCTTGTTCTGAGTCTAACTTGGATGCTGCTGGCTTAAGTGTAGGGTTGGAAGTTGTTCTCTCGAGGCCACCATCTGATTGTAGTATGTCTGTGAAGCCCAAGACACTTGACTTTGGTGATGTGGAAAAGTGCAGTTTGAATGAAACCTTTAACCCTGTTGTGGAAAAGGAAAGGCTGGACAAATCATCAGGGAAAAGATGTGCTGTAGTGAAGTCTGCCACATCACTAGATAAAGTAAGTTTTGATGACCCTTGCAGAAAATCTTTGGAGACGCAATCACTGGAGCAAGAGGTCTCAAACAAAAGAGAACAGCCTAGGAGGGTTTCTTTTGACACCTGTGTGGAAGAGTGTGTTGTAGTTGATGAAGAGGTATCCGAATTAGATATCAATAAGAACCTTCAGAATGCTGAAGATAATTCAGATGCTGTTGTAGAAATTCAACACTTCCCTTTTTCTCACGAGGCAGATGTTGCACTATTAAATGTTGATAAGGGCCCTGGTGTAGAAATGCATCAAAAGGTGACATGTCATATAGTGGAAGGATTTGAGTCTTCACCCAGGCTGCAAGTTGAGGAGGTAATTATTTTCAGTTCTTTGAAGTTCTTCAACTACTAGACATATTGCATATGTGTATATGTATCAACCTATTTCATTTTTGTGTGTATGTAATGCGCATGTTTGTTATCCCCTGCATACTGGTTCTGTGTTGGAGATCACTTCCTTTAGCCAAAGTTCATTACTTTTCAATAATTAGTTTAGCAACTCTACATTGGTTACTTTTTTAAATTCCATGCTGTAAAGCAGAACACATTTCTGCTGGAAAATGTTACATCCCTGAAATTGCGGCATCACATGACTTGTATCAGTTTGTGATCATACTGAAACATCATTTACTTCAAACTTTAAAACAAAAGGTAAATTGCACCGATCTCTACTGAGGTTTCCAACTTTGATAAAAACCTCTCATGCTTGACAGGGTGAACTTGGCTGTGATGGAAGGGATACTAATAAGACAACCCCTTTCATGTTCAAGCACCAACAATTACGGCAATCCCTTGTCTCAAATTTGACCAAACACTCAGCTGGAGTTCAAGGTTGCCTGGTTGGGGAGGTGGGAATGACAGATCCAAGTAGTGCTGTTCTTGATGTAAGGCAGTGCTATGAAGAAGATAACCAAGACTTGATGTGCATTGAAAATAAACTTGACGAAGGAAATATGAGTGGTGGTTTGGCTTGGAGTGAGAGAACCCTGCTGGAAAGAAAATCACATGTGGTAGAAGATGGCTTATTAGCATGTGGTTCAGTTGGTTCTCTGCATAGTGAGGAGAAGAATTTTAGTTCTTCTGAAATAAGAGAACTCCAACTTTTAGAAAGCTCTTTACATCTGGGAAGAAGATTAAGGTCTGTTTCAGAGGATTCCTGGCCTCAGTTTAAGCGGAGAAAGATTGACGGCGAACGAACTAATTTCTTCTCTGCTTCCCCTAGCTTTAGGGTGAAAGAGATTCATGGTATGGGAGGGCACACCACGAACAAAAATGTAAAGAGCATGGAAGATAATTTAGAAACTGTTTTACAAATTGAATGCTTGCCAGTTTCTCACGAGGGGGATGCAGCACAATTGAATGCTGATAAGAGTCCTGATATGGAACTGAACCAGAAGGTAAACTACCATTTGTCCGAAGGAATTGAGCCTTCACCAGAGCTGCAACTTGAACAGGTACTATTTATTTTGTAGCAAGAATTTTTGTTCTCTAAGGTTAATGTACATATCTAGCTGGCTTATTTGGAGAGAAGATAATGAATCAGAATTGTCATCTTATGTTGTTTTGACAGTCATATTAACGTTGGACTGGGTAGGTTGCTTGACCTTTACATGTAGAAAGCCTCTAGAAAATTATGATTGTGGTGTTTATATTGGAGGTCCAAAAATTATAGGTCATTCCTTGAAATGTTAAAATGATCATAAATTCTCAAGTGTTGAATTATTATCTAGTGTTTTCTCTAACTATATTTGACTTCTACGGCTATGGGATGAATCATGTAAATTGATTTTAAATAGTTCATGCTCCAGTCATTAGCCTCGATATACATGTAAAAAGTGTATAAAAATGCGTGAAAGTGTATAGAAATATGTAGCAGTGTCATGAAATATGTAAAAAGTGCATTGGGACTGTTTATATTTTGGCATTTCTCCCCCTTAATGACAGTCCCATGGGTGGTCATTAGCATGACCCATTCTTAAATTGGGGGCCCAGAGTGAATGAAAAGATTTCAAAGAAATCCTCATATAATGTGGGGCTTTTTGAAAACTTTGGTGCCAGGTTCCCTGCTGGTCATCCCTTCCCTCTGCCCCTTGCCCCAGTTAATGATTCTGTGTTTTGTAGTATGTGCTGATGCTACTAAAACATGTTTATATTTTTCCCTGAGACAGGAATATTATCTTCTCTTTTTGACATTGTGTGTTGGACAGGACGAATCAACATCCAAGCATGGACAAATTGGGCCATCCTTAGTTTCAAGTTTGACCAAAGAGGCAGCAGGAGACTCCCATGGTTGCTTTATGAAGAATGTGGGACCAGCAGATACAACTAGCATTGTCCTTGATGTAAGGAAGCAGTGTGATGAACAAAATTTCAAAGATTTGCAGCATTCTGAATATAATGGCACCATGGAAAATAAGGATGACTTGATTAATACTGAGAGGATACTGCAGGAAACGAAATCTCATTTCGAAGAGGATGGCTTATTTTCATATTGTTCAGTTGAGTCTCCACAAGACAAGCACATGGCTTCGATTGGTGCTGATCAAACTATGCCTGAGTTTGAGGGGTTCATTATTCACCCTGAAGAGAATGAACAACCACATATTGTTGGAGATGCAATTAGCTTTGACAAATTGGACCTTCCAAGTACCACAGTAAAACGTGCTAGTGTTCTGGAACAGCTTTGCAAATCTGCTAGCAGGCATACCCCACTGTCTGAATTCTCAGCTACATTCAAATTGCATGGAACGCCAGATTTATACCAGTCTGTACCAAATGGACTTCTTGAGCACATGGACCTGAGGAGTACCTTAAATCTAAATGATGATGGTGGAAAACAGCTCAGGGCAAGTTATAGTTGTGTGGATGAAGTGAAGTGTGCTTTCGAAGGAGTGTTGTATTCTGATTGTGTACCATACACTGATGCTCGTTTTGGTTGGAGTTTTAAAAAACCTTATATGTCTCCTATTGGAAAGCTCTGGGACAGAATTTCATCAAACTCCAGTAGTTCAGAGAAGCAACGGAGCTTAAACCCAGAGCTTACATGCTTCCCAATTGAGGAAGATCCCAGCATTAGTGGAGAGAATGAAAATATAGATGAGGTGGCTGATACAATCCAAGAGGACATTTCTTCAACACTGATGACTCATGCCAAACGACAACCACTTGCAGAGATAAAAGAAGCATGTGTGAACCCTCCTACATCAGTTTCTGCAGCAGAGAGATTTCCTGATAGAAATAGTTTAGATTCCACAAACACTGAAGTCAGTGCTACTGGGGCCCAAAGTAGGATCAAACAGAAGCTTGGTAATCGCTACAGCAATAAGAGGAGATGTACAAACGAGGCAAAGGAGAACCGCTATTTATCAATAAGCACAAATTGTATTAAGAAGGCAACTGAGTCACTAAACAACAGATTCAGTAAGCCAAAATTGTCAGGGAAAGCAAGTTTGAGGAAAGGTGGGCAGAATCTCTTAGAGAGGGAGTCTAAGCATAACAATATTGTTTCAAACATCACTTCCTTTCTTCCACTAGTTCAACAAAAACAAGCAGCTGCAGTTGGCACAGGTAATTTTTTTCGATTTTTTTTTTCTTGGATTTGCTTGTTTACTTGCTTAATTTTTTCTTTCTATATGAGGAACCAACAATCTTTCTTTGGGTAAACTGCACTTTCAATCCTCCGACTTTCACGTGAATTTCAGAACTTAGAAGCTACCTTGCATATCTGTTTGACTACGTTCCTTTTTTATTGGTAAAATTATTTTTCTATTTTTCATTTAGTACGTAGATCAGGACATTTTGTGGCACTTTGTAGGGAAGAGAGATATCAAAGTGAAGGCACTGGAGGCTGCTGAGGCTGCAAAGCGCCTTGAAGAAAAAAGACAGAATGAACGCAAGATGAAGAAGGATGCGTTGAAGCTTGAAAGAGAAAGAAAAGAGCTAGAAAATTTGCGGCAAATGGAGATAAACAAGAAAAAGAAAGAAGAGGAACAGAAGAAAAAAGGTGCTGATATGGCAGCAAGAAAAAGACTGAGGGAGGAAGAAGAGAGGAAGGAGAAGGAAAGAAAAAGAAAGCGAATTGAAGAACCACGACAACAACAGAGAGGCAAAGAAGAGAAATTACGAGCAGAGAAAGAGAAAGAAGTACCATTTGGTGCCATGGTAAGATTCCTTCTATATTAATGCACTCTGTATTCCATTCAATTTGATGTTGCCGTGACACCAACTATGGTGATGACTTTTCTAGGATGAAAATGTGAACGATGGGAAGGAATCTAACAATGAATTGAGAAAACATCAAAAAATTAAAAAGCCGCAGACTGATCCTAGGGCTGCTGAAATTTCAACAAGCAATGCCAGCCAAGTAATCCTGGAGGATTGTCAAGCTTTTAGTCACTTTGGTGACAATGGGGAGGTAAAGTTCTCATCATGCACATCTCCAAAAAGAAAGAGTTCCCGTATTTGAGTTTTAAATCTGCAAAGTTATTCAGCTCTGTTCTGTAGTCTCGGCAATAGTTGCAATATGTGAGAGTACAACAGAGCAATCACTAGGCATGATTAATGGCCTTCCATGTGCTTGCTGGCTTTGAATATGAGTTGTCAGAGTCCAGTTCAGGGTTTCAAGGGCAGGTAGAGAGGAAGAGACAGTAGGCATACTTGTAATAGGAAATATCCCAGGGCCAAGACCTCTTTGGTCTAGCGGTAGGTACCCAAGGAATACCCTAGAGAACCTTTGGTGAGGAGGTCAGTTGTTTGAATCCCATTACCCCACTTTCCCTTAGCATTAGGTAAGATAGTAAAACTCCATTTGATGTTATCTTAAAATAAATAAAGAAAAAATGGAACACCCAAGGACTTCCACATTACAAAACTTTCTTGACCACCATTAAAAAAAGAAAAAAGAGATTAAAATACTGAAATTACTCTACATGAGTAGATATCCCTTAGGGAACCCATGGAAGGTTGGTTTCAGCAACTTTGAGGCTTTTACCTTACACCATTTATGCCAGTGAGAAAGGATGTTTCTCCTTACTGAGGAGTCCATTTTGTGACATTAATTCATATAGTACTACTCTTTTGCGATGTGCTTATTTACTTTCACGTTGAACCTCGTATTGAAAGTTTTTATGGTCTCCTAGCCAACTAGTGTCTTCACAAAAACTGCTGAAAAGGATAGCTTTATGGCAAAGACAAGTCTAGAAAAATCATATTCGATTTCTCCATATCAATGCTCGGATGATGAAGAGGACGAAGAGGATGAAACGGATGAAATTCGCACGAAAAAGTTTGTTCCTCCTTGGGCCAGGTAATTATCTTAATTTTGTCTTCTCAGAGTTAAACACAACCTTGAAAGCACATAAAATTGCTGTACCCATCTCACTTGTCTTATGCTACTTTGACATTTACAAGTCTCTATCCACTAATGAACTGAATGTCGTTCATCAGAATGATTTAAGGTCATGTTTTTGTGATTTTATTTTGTTTTTGTTTTTTGCGAGGAACTGAAGCTTTTAATGAGTTTATACTTGCTTTTTGCAGTAAAAATTCAGTGGCTCTTGTTCTTTCATCCCTGCAAAAAGTTGACCCATATATAATATTCCCACCTGAAAGTTTTTGCAGTATAGATGAAGGTAATCTTTCTCTGTTTCTTTAATTTCTTCTTCTTCACTCGATGCAAGTAGTTTTCGCGTATATATTTTAATCCCATTGGACCATATTATTTATTATTGAATTTAATAACATAATTTACCATTGTGTAGTCCTACGGCCTCAAAAATTACAGCCAAAATAGGATGCAACGTTGAAGAAATTGTTGTCTTCAAGAACATTGCTGCAATAACTTGGATGAGATTTCTGCACCAAGATAAGGTACTCTCTTGCTTTCTCTCTCTCTCTCTCAGCATCATCTCACTGTTTGTCATCCTTATTGGTGAAAGTGATTAAATTTTGTAGGCGAAATTCAACGGGGAAGGAGATCTCGCTTGGGCCTATTTGTTGTGAACGATAGAAAATTTGTAGAGATGTATATACTTAATGCAATGTTAGATGAGGATTTTTTTCTCGTCTTAGATCTGAATTTGATGGTTTCTTTGCAATTTGGCTTAAAATTAACCCAGCCATTTAAGTAGCCAAAATAGCTCAGAGGGTTATTATTCCTCTTTAACAATTCCTATTTCTGATTTTGTCGCATTGTAGTATTTCAAGTTTATGAATAATAGAGTGCCTGACATTTTGATGCACTTGTTCAACAATTTTTGTGTGTTACACTAAATTTATTTGGAAAGAATTTTTTTTTCTAGAGACAATGTTTTCTTGTGTTTGGTTGCCCATTTGAAACTAATGTATTAATGGTTGTATTGGTGGTGGTGGTCATCTGGGGGCGGAGGTGAAGGCGATGGGATAGTGGTGGCTTTAGGATTTTAAATGTGCCGTGTCGAGTTGATTAGTAAATTATTTAAACTTGGCTTGAAATTTACCACAGTGAGTCAATACTCATGAAACAAAAAACCGTTCTAGATTATGAAAAAAAATATAATAATAATAATAATTTATGATACCAGATTTCATAAACATGAAATATTATCAATTAATAAATGTGATCTTATATATGGTAATTATTAAATAATTATTTCTTAAATATAGGATTCACTTTTGATATGTAATTTTATTAGTAATTAGTGATATCGGCTTATTTTGGGAAGATGGTAAAAAGTGACTTTTTGGCTTTTTTAGACAAATGATTTGGGAAGTTGGTAAAAAGTGACTTTTGACTTTTTTGATTAATGTTTGTTTATGATGTCAAATCATAATAAAATGACCAAACTACCTCCATTTATTTAAAATATTTACGACTTCACCTATGTAACACATTTTGACTCATGAGGGTAAAATTGTAATTTCACCGTTGGCTAAAAACCAACTTTTCAAATGAAAAAAAACACAAAAAAGCCAATTTTTGGCTTTTGCTGCAAACCAAAAAAAGTGACTTTTAGCCAACTTCCCAAAATAGCCCATCATATATATTTGCGATAGAATTTTTACGCTTTTTGTTCATCACAAACTACTTCATCAATTATGATCGATTGTTTAGAATTAGTTTTTGTTAGTTATGTTTTTTTTATTTATTTATTTTTTATATTTTTAAGTTTTATTCAATTAGATGGACTGAAAATAAAATAAGAAAAATTGAAAGACAAAAAAAAAGTCAATTAAAGACCCAAAAAAAGTGTTTTTTTAAAAAAATTTGTCTTCAATTAACCTTTTTAAAAAAAAAATTAAAATTTTTTAAACTAAAAAGTGATTTTACTCTCGTCTTTTTTTTTCCTTCCTTTTTTTTAAAGCTCTTCTCAAAATTTAACCAATTATAATTAATGATAACACATAAGACGTCGTCGTATTGAAATTGGCCGCCATTTCCTTTCCGTGTAACCGTTATAAACCCTAGCTAGACACACATAATTGGCGGATAGAATTCCCCCCCCCAAATTGTTTCCTTCTCTTTCTTCTTCCTCATAGAAACCTCTCTCTCTCTCTCTCACACATACATCAATCCCCATTGATTCCTAAACCATCTTCCTCAACAATATGCATCCAAGAACACTTCTTGTTCTCTCTCTCCTCTTCTTCCTCTTCAACTCCTCACACCCACCACAAGTCTCCTCAGAAAACATAATCTTTGACTTCCCATCTTTCACTCTCCGAAACCCAACTCTCCTCGGCGATGCCTACCTCCGGAACGGCCTCATTGGCCTCACCCGAGACCTCCCCGTACCGTCTTCGAGCTCCGGTACCGCCATTTACAACTACCCAATTCCATTCTTCGATCCCAACTCCAATTCCACAGTCTCTTTCTCCACAAGATTCTCTTTCTCAATCAGTAGTTTAAATCCCACTTCTTTCGGAGATGGGTTGTGTTTCTTTCTATCCCCTGAAAATCGGAATCTGGGTAGTCAAGGAAGGCACTTGCGTCTTGTCAATTCGTCTCAATTGACCAAGAACAAGTTTGTAGCTGTTGAATTTGATACTAGGCTCGATTCTCAATTCAATGATCCGAATGATAATCATGTTGGATTGGACATTGAAAGCTTGGTTTCGATCAAGACTGCTGATCCTAAATCGATTGACATTGATCTCAAGAGTGGGAATTCAATCACTGCTTGGATTGATTACAAGAATGATCATAGGAAATTGAATGTGTTCTTGAGTTACAGTAATTTGAAGCCAGAGATGCCTCTGTTGAGTGTCGAAATCGACCTCTCTCATTATCTGAAAGAGTTTATGTACGTGGGTTTTTCGGCATCTACTGAGGGAAGCACAGAACTTCACTTAATTGAGAATTGGAGGTTTGAAACATCACCCTCAGGGAGGGCTCGAAATCATCCCCACAATGTCTCCGATAATTCAGTGATTACACCGCGTTTTCAGGTCCCAAATTCTTCTTCCAAGAAGCATCACCGGGGCCTCGGTTTGGGTCTCGGGATCGCCTGCCCGGCCTTAATCTGTCTCTTTGTGGTTTTCGGGTGGATTTCTGTCAGAAAAAGGAGAGGGGTATCAAAACAGAGCTGCACAACAGGGCTTGTGGCGGGTCCAAGACAATTCAGTTACAGAGAGCTCAAGATTGCCACAAAAGGGTTTCATTCAAGCAGAATCATAGGCCATGGAGCTTTTGGAACTGTTTACAAAGCCTATTTAGTCTCTTCTGCTACAATCTCTGCAGTGAAGAGATCAAAGCATACCCATGAGGGAAAAACAGAGTTCCTCGCCGAATTAACGATTATAGCTTCTTTGAGGCACAAGAATTTGGTTCAGCTCCAAGGCTGGTGTGTTGAAAAAGATGAATTGTTGCTTGTTTACGAGTTCATGCCCAATGGGAGTCTTGATCAGGTTCTATACGATCAATCTGAGCGTGGCAATTTGCTGAAATGGGTATATAGATACAACATTGCAGTTGGGTTAGCTAGTGTTCTAACATATCTGCATCAAGAATGTGAACAGCAAGTGATTCACAGAGATATAAAAGCCAGTAACATAATGCTAGATGGTAAATTCAACGCAAGGCTTGGAGATTTCGGATTGGCACGATTGATGGATCACGGTGTTAAAAGCCCCGTTTCGACTCTAACCGCTGGAACTGTGGGATACCTTGCTCCAGAGTATCTTCAGTGTGGGAAACCTACCGAGAAAACCGATGTTTTCAGCTATGGGGTGGTTGTACTTGAAGTATGCTGTGGAAAGAGGCCAATTGAGAGAGAACAGGGGACTCAGAGGATGGTGAATTTGATTGATTTTGTTTGGGGATTGCATTCTGAGGGGAAAATCATGGAAGCTGCTGATGTGAGGTTGAAGGGTGAGTTTGAGGAGAGTGAAATGAGGAAGCTGTTGCTTGTGGGATTGAGTTGCGCAAACCTGGATAGCGAAGCTAGGCCTTCGATGAGGAGGGTTTTCCAGATCTTGAACAATGAGGCCGAGCCCATTGTCGTGCCTAAAGTGAAGCCGAGCCTTAGTTTTTCTTGTGGATTGCCATTGAGAATTGAGGACATTATTGTTTCAGATGGTGAAGAGGTATGAAGGCACCAGATCACATGTTTGAGATCACAGTTGGGTGAATCCACAATTGTGAATTGTCTGTCATATCTGTTTTAAGTAATGTAGAGTTTTTGATTCTTTTCATTCTTTTTGAGAGAGAGAGAGAGAGAAGGGGTATCAAAACAGAGCTTCACAACAGGGCTTGTGGCCGGTTCGAGACAATTCAGTTACAGAGAGCTCAAGATTGCCACAAAAGGGTTTCATTCAAGCAGAATCATAGGCCATGGAGCTTTTGGAACTGTTTACAAAGCCTATTTAGTCTCTTCTGCTACAATCTCTGCAGTGAAGAGATCAAAGCATAGCCATGAGGGAAAAACAGAGTTCCTCGCCGAATTGACGATTATAGCTTCTTTGAGGCACAAGAATTTGGTTCAGCTCCAAGGCTGGTGTGTTGAAAAAGACGAATTGTTGCTTGTTTACGAGTTCATGCCCAATGGGAGTCTTGATCAGGTTCTATATGATCAATCCGAGCGTGGTAATTTGCTGAAATGGGTACATAGATACAATATTGCAGTTGGGTTAGCCTCTGTTCTAACATATCTGCATCAAGAATGTGAACAGCAAGTGATTCACAGAGATATAAAAGCCAGTAACATAATGCTAGATGGTAAATTCAACGCAAGGCTTGGAGATTTCGGATTGGCACGATTGATGGATCACGGTGTTAAAAGCCCCGTTTCGACTCTAACCGCTGGAACTGTGGGATACCTTGCTCCAGAGTATCTTCAGTGTGGGAAACCTACCGAGAAAACCGATGTTTTCAGCTATGGAGTGGTTGTACTTGAAGTATGCTGTGGAAAGAGGCCAATTGAGAGAGAACAGGGGACTCAGAGGATGGTGAATTTGATTGATTTTGTTTGGGGATTGCATTCTGAGGGGAAAATCATGGAAGCTGCTGATGTGAGGTTGATGGGTGAGTTTGAGGAGAATAAAATGGGGAAGATGTTGCTTGTGGGATTGAGTTGCGCGAACCTGGATAGCGAAGCTAGGCCTTCAATGAGGAGGGTTTTCCAGATCTTGAACAATGAGGCCGAGCCTGTTTTTGTGCCTAGAGTGAAGCCAAGCCTTAGTTTTTCTTGTGGATTGCCATTGAGAATTGAGGACATTATTGTTTCAGATGGTGAAGAGGCATGAAGGCACCAGATCACATGTTTGAGATCACAGTTGGGTGAATCCACAATTGTGAATTGTCTGTCATATCTGTTTTAAGTAATGTAGAGTTTTTGATTCTTTTCATTCTTTTTGAGAGAGAGAGAGAGAGTGTGTGTGTTGGTGTTGTTTAGTTCAGTCCCTAATCTGCAAAGTTTTTTTGGACTAGTTTTGTTGTTCTGATTGTTGTTTTGTTTTTTAGTGTGGCAAATATACTTGAATGAATCATAATTCTTTATGCTATACATAAGCCAGTGAAAAATATAAATTAAATAAAATTTAAAGAGAGAGAGAGAGAATTTGAATTTGAATTTTGATAGGCATGTTTTAGTTGCTATAATTTGGATGTTGGAGTAACTTTCTGGTTGTTTGGGAAGTAACATTTTATTTATAAAAAAAATGTGTAAAAAATAAAATAAATAAAAATGAATATTTGAATTTTATTTTCATGAATTAAAAACTTTACTTTTAATTAATTTTAATAATTTTTTCACGAAAATCCTCAATTGCCATATTCTCTTTGAACGAAGTTCTTATTTCACCCCCTAAAAAAATGACAAGTGGTAATCAAATTTAGGCCTAGTTTGGGAAGACTAAATAAGTGTACTTTTTGACTTTTTATGAAATATGGGTTGGGTTTGGGTTGGGTTTGAAGTGATGTTTTAGAGAGGTGATGTGACTTAAATAAGATGATGTGACTTAAATAGGATAGTGACTTTTTTTTTTTTTCTTTTTTCAATCTTTCCAAACTAGACCTTAATATAAAAAATTGATCATCACTGTATTATCTCAAAGAAGTAACCACAGAACAATTAAAAAGACAATCCAAAACTATAAAAAAACACCAACTTTAGTCTACAAATATTCATAGAGAAGTAATTGCAATGCTATATATGGTATATGAAAGAAAATGAACCACACATCTGTAATTTCGAGGTCATTGGCTGTGCCTATGATTACAACTCTCATATTCATACAAAAAACTTGAATTTGAATTCAAGAAATGCAAAAACTTAATCAGAGAAGTAAATCTAGCAAAGGTCAACCAAGAAATGGCTGCACGATAGATCATCTATCACACTGTTCATCTTTCCCGACTCACTTTCGTCGGTAGAATTTCGAAAAGAAGCCATTTCATTTTCTCCCAACAATTTGGTCTTCCATTTAATACCAATTGACTCTGCCTGATCAGCAAACAATACTTTCGAAATCGATGAACTGCAAATCTCTTTATAGAACTCATAACTGGCCGCTCGAGTGTTTCCACCTTCCAGGAGTTTCGAGAGCGGATGCAAAACAGAGATTGGATCATTGTTTCTTTCCAAGGTTTCCTTCAACTCCAGAAAAACAGAGACATATTCTTCTTTACTAAACTGAACAAACACAGCAGTTTCATCTAAGTGATAGATGGAAGAAACCGAGCTTGGGCCAAAGACTTTAGAGACGCATTCCCTAATCTCCCTTGCCTTGAGTTTGGATGGAAATCCCCAAATTAAACAAATATTTGAAAAGACAATCTTCGGATACCTAAATTTTAGGCTGTTATATGAAGACTCTGCAGTCTGCTTACCAGTCCTCAGATCAATAATGTCACTGTTAATCCAGCTTAAATAAAGAAGATTAATGTGCTTTTGGAGCTTCTCATCATGGGTCAAATTAGTGAAGGGTGGATGAAGCTTGAAATTGAACCCAAGATGACTGCATACTTGGGCAAAAACACAACCCGTCATAAAAGCATCATAGCCAGCTTCATGCTTAGCTCCAGAGTTCCAGTTTGAGGACCTGCACATGGACATACAATTAGTATGGCTCGTCTAAGCTTGGAAAACATACTACAAGGCTTCTCTCTATCATTTTCTTATTCATGGTGATAATCTTTTGTGTCATTTGAAAGTTTATGTTATATAAATGCCCAACAGGTATGTTCTTCAACAAGATGATTGGTTTGTTATTGATTTTGAATAATTTAGATAATTATATAAGAAATAGACACACACACACAAAGATAGCTAAAAACATTCACAAGTGTATATATCTGACAAATCACTCAATCAATCACGTGCATATATATACGAGTCCGTGTCAGATTTTAAAAGTTATGTCTACCTTTTATCCCTGTTAAGGTGAGAGACTATTGTGCATGTCAGTTAAAGTGTTTTTGTACGCACACACTTGATTTGAAGTTTAACAACAATGGTATGTGAAACTTTTTGAAGCATTGGGCATGATATCATGAACTGAAAAGTGAAGTGTGTGTATAGTGAGTGTTTAGAAAGTGGGTTTTTATGTAGGTTTTTTTAGTTGTAGGATATTATTGGATAAAAAATTTTTAGTTTTTGGGAAGATAGTTGGGTTTTTTTGTGGTTGGATGTGATGTTTGTGAGAAAAAAAATGAAATGATTATGGGATTAGATGTGATATTTTGTTTAGATTTGTTTTTTTTTTTTGTTTTGTAAAACCTTTGTCTTATAGTGAAAAAAATCAAAAAAAAAATTTGGGAACCAAGTTCCCAAACACCACCATAGTTTCTCTTCAAAAAATATTCCCATCAAAAGCCGACATACCACTTATCAAAACGAAACGAAGGCTAGTGACGTGCTTTTTAGTGTTGGTAGTTAAAAGCAATAAGCAACATTATTGCCAACTTATGGAACAACAAATAAATAAACAAATAGATCAACTATATCAAGATAACCCAAGAATCTTTATTGGTGAGATTGAAGAGTTTCAAGTCCTAGTAAAGATAAAGGCGGAAGTGAACCTCATGTCATCCACTTGAACCTCGACGTTAACATGTGGCTTGAGACCGAATCTAGATCCTTTGACACTCGAAGCAATTTCTGAACACAAGAAGGCAAATGCTTTGGACAGTGATGTGCTGCCCTTCTTCATCATAGCTCTAAGTACATCATTTGCATTTAAAAGTACTTTTGTGTCAATGATGTATGGAAAGTATTTGTGAACAGAAGAGACGTATTCTTCAGCAGTCGAAGGAAGAGAACCTAAAAATTTGCTATACATGTGCGCAATATCTGTATGAAATAGACAAAACAGGTGATATATAAGAAGGAAAAAAAAAAAAAAAAGCCTCTGAGCATAACTCAAATGTAATATCCGTACCAAGAAAGCAATTGTGACCAACTATCAACTTCTGCTCTGAGGAAAGGAGATCAATAACATGCCGAAATCCAACCGCAGCTTCGATCTTCATCTCTTCTTCCTTGCGAAGCCCATCCTTGACTTCTTTCTGCAAGAAATTAGTACAACAAAATCACGTTCCCAGGAGATGCAGGCAGTATGACACAAGATAGTGAAGACACCCCTCCTCCCCCCTTTTCTAATTTCAGCTCCCACAAAGCTTCTTGTTTTTAATTATTATTGCTATGATTTACCAAATTCCTTGTTTCACCTAAGCTTTAAGTTTCTGCAGAATACTCCACAAAAAATATTCAGTCCAGACTTCAAATATTTGAGGCATTATAGTAAAACAAAATTCAAAAGACAATAATCATCTATGAAGTACCGACACTTCAAAACAAGTGCTGTATTCGTGTCGGACACACAGATACGGTGGGGGCATGCAGACACACGTATGGGACACACCACATGGCGTGTCCCCTTATTTAATTAATTTATTTCAGGAGACAAGCCGGGGACACACTAGGGACATGCCAAGTTATCTTTTCTCCCATTTTCTTTAGTACTTTTAATGAATGTTAAATGTTTACTATTTTTTTCTTAATTTTAAATACTTAATAGATCATCTATAAAAAAAAAGAATAAAATGTAAACGGTAAGTATTAATTTAAAAGTTTTTTTATTTTTATTTTAAATATACAAAATTAGAGTTAGTTTTTGTTAATATTGATTGTTTGTGGATATAATATTAATATAAGAAAATATATTTTATTATTGCGTCCCGGCCATGTCCGTATCCCCATTTTCTTGAAATCACCATGTCTCATGTCCGCATCCATGTCCGTATTCGCATCCGTGTCTGTGGCCGTGTCCGTGCTTCTTAGATAATTATTGAATAGCTCTTTGACATTATAACAAACTGACCTAAATAATATCATGATAGTCATTTCATACAAAAGAAACATCAGGAAATTCACATAAATGAACTCAATAATATCTCTTTTCACAGGTTTGTGTTTTACCATAAGTAAGCCCCTGTCATTGTTTGATTCAGTGTACACAATTAATTGTTGTACAGAGGAAGATTCACCCTTTACACGAATGTAAACAAGGTTTTCAAAATGCTTCACAGTAACCTGCACATTTTCAGTTTCATACATCAGCAATGACAAAATTTCATCTAGTATAATATACAAATTGAGTAAAATAGCAGCTTATAAACATAAACTCAAGTCAACAAAACCTCAAACCCCTAAAAAAATTATTGACAGTAAAAACTAAATAATAGCTCATCCTCCCTGTCATCTAATCTATTCAGCATTTAACCAAGGCAAACCAGATATTAAATGAAGAAAATATCAAACTAATAAGAAGAAAACAAAAGGATCAAAGAGTTCACATTGATGGAGGTTATCTAAGCAATATATTTGGAAGAAAAAAAGACTAGCATTACCAACTGAATCAACCTTAGCTGGTGAGAGGTGAACCCATTCAGCAAAAGAGCTGGGCGCATCTTGAAGAAGATGGTTTGAAATTGTTGACTGAAGTCATTTGTACTTTCCTGAAATTTAGACCCGCTATTTCTACTCTGTAATAATCCCTCACGCCACTCACTGATTCTGTTCTTCATTCTCTCAGTGAAGAGAACATCTGCAATTCTAACTAACGCTGTATCTCTAGCTTCTCTCAAGTACAATTCTGACAAATCGTCCTCATACCTCATTTGTAAGTGCCTTAGTGCTTCATCCTGTTGTCCTCTGGATAAATAAGATATTCCTGAGATTTTCCACAAGTGTAAACTCTCAAAATGAAAGCATTAAAAGAAGCTTAAGGGAATGACATAACAGATTACAAATTCCGCATTCAGTAATACTCATAAGTAAAACTGCTCCAGATGGGGCAAACTCATCACCACTAAGGATACTTATGAAATCTACCAAAACAAAGCTAAACTAGACAATAATGTGCATAATGTAGATCATTTGAGGGAGATGAATCACAGATCTTCTGATGGTGTAGAAGTTATGTTGTATATGTAGGTTGAAAAATACATTTGCAAGTTTTTAGTATAGTTGAGAGTCAGGTGTTATAATCCATTTTCTTGACCAATTTTTGAATTATGTAGAGATTTTGATACACGTGGAGGTGTATAAGTGTTTTACGTTTCATGTTTTTTCTTCTCCTCTTTTGTATAGAGGTGGCATTCTAAAACAATGGTGATTGAAAAAAGGGACTAGATGTCTCCACAAAAGAAAACCCTTGAATCCACAAGGAAGTATGAAAACCAAGACATTTCATTCATTCTGGAATGACACCCAATGAAAGATTAGGTCCAGATTTCAGCCCCGCTTCAACTCCTGTTGCTCCCGGTGTTCTAAAAATGCCTCGATTGCTTGTTCTACATCACATTCCCTCTATTTTGTCTTGAATAAATCATCGTTATTACTTATCCACAAATATATGCATCTTATCAATCTTTGATGCATTATTTTCTTCAGCATATCTCAAAAGAATAGTGTTCTATGTTTTCATTGGTTTATCCAGTAAAAACTGAAAATTGTAGCTATTGTACAGATGTTATGTTTCAGTTATTTATAAAATGGAATTACACTTGACACTGCTAAATTAGCAGCAGAACTAGGGCCTACAATCCAAGTTTAAATTAAGACAATTAGTACTACCGTTGAAATTTAAACTGAAGTATACACATTAACTAAGCATCATTTGGGGCATTAATGCAAGTCGAGAATAATAGAAAGAAAGTGAGGTACCTTCATGTATGCATTGATTGAAATCAAACTGGTATTTAGCCAAGAAGTCAATTGAGGTTGTTTGGCATAGGAACTCATAGGAGGGGCCACCAACTGGAATTTCTTGACGTGGAAATATATAAAAATTGTGCCTGTCAATCAAAAGCACGATGTGCTATGAGGGTGGGCTCATCAAGAAAATATAATTTTCATTCATGTTATCAGCTTTTTCTACTAAATCAAATAACACATATTAATTTTAAGTCCGTTTAGTGCAACTTATTCTAAGCTAGAAACTAACAATCTATCAACAAAATCTAAAAGCACGCCCTCTCTCTAGCTTCATAATAATCAAATTTTTTCAACTTATTTATTATTTTTCACTCCTAAGTTGTAAACAACTGGCATGGATTGTCAGACTTCAAATAAGTTCAAAACTTCTACTTATCAAGGAAAATTATTAGATACTCCCAGAGTACACCATATGCCATTATTTATGTGGTACTCCCATCAATGAGAAACCAGAATGCACGGCCCGTTTGACAGCCAGCTTTTTGGCTAAAAAAAGTTTAAAAAAAAAAAAAAAAACTAAAATGTTACATCATACACATCAAGTACCCACATTTCCCTTATAACTATTTATTCAACTAAAAAAAATTCCAAACACTAGTTTTTTTCACCTCATAAAAAAAGTTAAAAATCCAAAAAGCTACTAAAAAAGTCAACTTGCCAACGAAAGGTGAATCAGTATGTTCACTAGTAAAAAATTTCACTACGGGATTGGTTTGGAGCACCGCGAATGCAATGCTACATGGTGCTATGTAATACTGAATAATTACCCACATATCAATCTGTTCACCATTTTTCAGAGCATAATTTAATCAGACATCAGATTAAAAATTTAGTCTTTTTTTTTTTTTTTTGCTCTCCACAACAACTAACATAAATTTTCCTCCAAATGGTTCTCAGAAAGAAATATGGAAAATACATATAAAACAGCTGATAAAATAAAAATCAATTCTTTCAGTGAGCCAATAAAAAGATTCAAACTCTCTAATTTTCTTACAAATAGATTAATCAATGAAAATTATACAATAATAGAGTGAAATAAAGAAGGAGAACTGACGGGTGAGCAATGAAGGATTGCTTGGAAGAGTCCCAACGGAAGGGACAAACACCAAACTGAACAACAGCGAACTTCTCTGCCGAATCTTTGACTTTGAGATAACGAATGTCGAAGCGATCGAACTCGAAGGAGTCTCTCCATGGAGCGCTCGTAACGCCGGTCATCTCGAGGTCGATCGACACGAAGTCTGCGTCTCTGACGAGGCGTCGGAGGTCGCTGAGTGCCGATTCGAAGTTCGATTTCGTGACATTTTTTAGAGCGAAAGATGAAGATGAAGATGAAGATGTAGATGAAGATGAAGATGTTGAAGAGCAGAGTGAGCGAGTGAATGAAGAGGTGGTGGTGGAAGCTAGGGTTAGGGTTTCGGAAAGTGCCCTAACCAGCCATTGTTTCTTCATCCTCTGTTGCTCATAATTTTTGTGTTGTGTGTTGCTTTGTCATGGAGTGTAAAGAGATGAAGGTGATGACTAGGCTAGGGCTAGACTCGTAAAATATTCGCTTAATTTGTTAAAATTATATCCATTTATAGCATTTCTAACGATTTATCAAAATTTTTATCAAACCTAAGTGAAAAAATGATTTTTTTCTCATTTTGATATGGAGGGCTCCAATGGTTCATCAACTCTGTGTCGGGACAACCGGCTGGCTGACTAGTAAAGGCAAAAAATTTTTTTTTTTGAATTGTTTGAACTTTTTCAGTGAATTGTCTGAACCTATTTCCAAGACGACCGGTTGGTTGACCGGCCGGTCGACTGGTAAGGCAAAATTTTTTTTTTTTAAAACTGTTTGAACTTTTTTTTTAACTGTTTGAATCCTTTAGTGGTCGACCGGTTGGTTTCCCCCAACGGTCAAGAACAGTGATTTGGTGAAATGCTGCGCTTGTTCTCATTTTGGTAAAACGTTTGGTGAATTCTCGATTTGATATCGTTTTGGTGAAACCGTTGGAGCTCAAAAAAGTGACTTTTTCACCAAATTTTAAATTTGATGCCACGTTTGGTGAAGCGTTGGAGATGGTCTTATACTGCACAATAGATTAATTATAGTTTAAATTTGAAAATTTACAATTCGCCTGCCTGCTATAGTTAATTTATATATATTTTTTAATAGACAGATGCTGGAGACCCCTAGTACGGAAGGATCCCCAGCACCCCCACCTCCACGTGTAGGGTTGCCAATGGAGAAAAAAAAAAAAAAAAAAAAAAAACGTTTTTTGACCAATCAAAACAAACCCCAGCACCCCCACTAGGGATGGCAATCGGAACCCGGCCCAATGGGGACCCGATCCCCCAACCCCGAATTAAGGCCTCGTTTGGGAACAGGCTAATTTAGTAATTTTTTGGCTATTTGGCTAAAATATGAGCTAAAAAAAACTAGTATGTTTAGGATGACTTTTTAGCTTTTTACGAAAAGATATGCAAAAAGTATAGAGAAAAGAGAATCTTTGACTTTTTTGTATAGGTTGTTGGCTTTTTGGCTAATTTAGTAACTTTTTGACTTTTTGACTAAAAATGAGGGTTTCCAAACGAGGCCTAAGCGGTTATTCCCTGAAAAATATCCTCGACGGGCTGATGATGGTATTAAAAATTAGATCCCCGATGATATTCGGGCCGGGGACGGGGACACATGTTTCAGTCCCGGACCCGGCCCGGCCCCGATCCTCGGCCCGGTTGCCCCCGACATGAAATTACCTTTTTACCCCTGCTTATATATAACATATGTGGGTGTGTGTAGGGTGTTGTTTGAGAACACACACACAACACAAACACAACAACAGAGCCGTCTCCTCTTCTACTCTCTCTCTCTCTCTCTCTCTCTCTTCATCTAGGGTTTCGCCTTCCTCTCTCTCTCTCTTTCATACAACGACGGCGCCGATCATCCGTCACCGCCGATCCTCCCTCAATGGTATTAAAAATTAAATCCCCGATGATATTCGGGCCAGGGACGGGGATACATGTTTTAGCCCCGGCCCCGGACCCGGCCCGGCCCCTGCCCCGATCCCCGGCCCGGTTGCCCCCGACATGAAATTACTCTTCTGCCCTTGCTTATATATAACATATGTGTGTGTGTTTAGGGTTTTGTTTGAACACTCACACACACTCAACACAAACACACACACAGCCGTCTCTGCTCTGAGTAGGGCTCTCTTTCTCTCTCCCCCCTCCCTACGACTCTCTCTCTCTCTCTCTCTCTCTTCTCCCTTACAAACCCACTTCTCTCTCTCTCTTCCCTCTACTCTCTCTTCCGCATCCGAAGTCGTCGACAAGATCCTCCGATGCCGTTGCCTCTTTCGTTCCGACGCCACTACCACCGTGTTACCCCTGGCCAGTGGCCGTTGCCTCTTCCGTTCCGACGCCACTACTCCTTCGACGCCACTACCTCCTTCGAAGTCGTTGATTGAGCATGGTGGAGTCCTCTATGAACTCCACCAGATCTAGTTTTTCTCTCTCTCTCTTCTTCCTCTCTCTCCTCCGTGGTTAGGGAGTATAGGCACTGTTTTGAACGCAAATCATGCATTAGTTGACATTGCAATTGAAAATTGTGTAATAATTTTTCTATCAATCTCATGATTCTGTTAGGGTGCACAAATTTTTAATCTATTTTGCGTGTGTCTCTCTAATTCATTAGGGATTGTTATATATATATATATATAATGATTCACGTGTTGAAACTTTTGAATCGATGATTTAATCACCTGTTTAATTAATGGGACACCATTTCCCTTCTAAAATTGCATCACATTCTTTCTAGTTATGGAACAAAACCAGAAGAGGGAAAAAAAAAAGTATAAATGCTCATGAAACAGTCACCCCACCAAAACTGGCCAAAGTGGTTTTGAATTAATTTTTGGTGTGTATGGAAATCAAATAGCGTATAGCTGTCATTCCCTTTTTTGATTTATGGGGATGCAATGTCATCTTGGTTAAACTATCTTGGGAAATAAATTATAGCAGAGAATGTGATTTGTTTTCAAGTATCTTTAAACTAGGAAGTGTTGTTTCTCAGTACTAAACATGTCTCCATTTTGCCAATGGGAGTTTGTTTTTGGTATCTAATTGATCTCCATGTATTTAGACATTTTGCCATTTTGATCTCAATGTAATTGATCTCCATTTTGCCATTTTGCCAATGGGAGTTTGCTTTTGGTATCTAAACATGTCTCCAACTTGTCTAGTATTTATATACGCCTCCTAGTATTTATATTACCATGGAATAATTTCAATACTGAATTTATATTCTTTATTTTTTAGGAAATTCAACATTGGAATCAGTGGACTATGCAACTATATATGATGATGATGAGATCGAGCCGGATCAGTCATGTGCCACTTTTGTGTTAGTTGTCATCTTTTTTGTTTTAATTGTTAACATTTTTTACATTTTATTATTAGTATTAATTATTTTTTTTTTTTCCTTTTGTTATTTAACAGGAATTCAAGTTGAAGGAGGTGATGAAAGTTGTGTGGTTTGTATGGGTATTGGAGAAACAATGAAAGAATTTTTTTATGTTGTAATGGATTTTTTTTTTAATTTTTAATTTCAATTTTTGGATAACCTATCCCTTGTGGGTTGTGTTTGGGATTAATTATTCTCTTTGCTACTTGTTGAATTTTCTTGTGTGTATGGGCTGCTGGACAGATGTTTTGTTTGTGCTATTTTGTTGCTACAAGATGTTTTGTGTTTGAGTTGTGCATGGGCTGCTGAATTTTGTTGCTATAGGATGCTATTTTATTGAATATTTGATAGATGCTATATTTGACAAATGCTGCTGGACAGATTTATTGATTTGTATATATTGGCAGATTATGTTGAATTTTTTGGGTAGCCTATCTTATTTGAATATGTTGACATAGGTGGTGTTTGACAAGTTGGGTTGGGGCTAAAATAGCCACAAAAGACAAAACATGCTATTTTAGCCACAACAAACAAAACATCACATCCAATCCATAATCATTACACTCTTCTCTCACAAAAAAAATCAAAAAAGCCAAAAAGCCAAAAAGCCCTTCCCAAACCAAACTTTTTAGCCCAGGCTAAAATAGCCAAAAAAGCCAAAAAGTCAAAAAGCCAACCCACTTCCCAAACGGAGGCATATTATGTATTGATTTTTTAGCTTGACAGATTATGAATTTTTAATTTTTGGTAGATTATTTAATTTTATATATATTGGCAGATTATTGATTTGAATTTTTTAGCTTGATAGATTATGAATTTTTAATTTTTGGTAGATTATTTAATTTTTTTTATATATTGGCAGATTATTGATTTGAATTTTTTAGCTTGACAAATGCTGCTGGACAGATTCTTAATAGGATGTTTAAAATTGTTTTTTGAAAAAAATAAATAAAAAAATACTGTAATTCGGTCGGGGAATTAGCGGGGTCGGGGATACCCGATCCCCGATTGGGAGCGGGGGCGGGGGGATACGGGGTCCCCGTCGGGGATCGGGGATGAGGACGGGAAATTTCTCACTATCGGGGATCGGGGACGGAGAGTGTGGTCCCTGGCCCCGTCCCGCCCCGTTGCCATTCCTAGTGGCTGACCCTATGACCAAAGGGTTGTCTTTGGAAAAATTCAGAGAACATGTAGCTAATATGGGATTGAAAAATACCTAGCTATGTGGTTTAGCTACTTATATAAGAGCATAGTCGGATGACTCTGGGGACGCCTTTGTTAACCGATGTTTTGCGACTCTATCTTGCATGAGTTTCATTATAGATTCCTCCCCCAGCAATTTAATTTTTTTAAATATCAATTTTACCCTCACTGGGTAAATTACATTGACACCCCTCACATTTTAGGAATTACAATCCCCTCCCTAAGATTTAAAGTAGCATTACTAATTGCTCCTTCGGTTTGTATTAGTTGGAAAAAAATTAATTGAAAAAAAAATAATTGGAAAAAAAAAATTAATTGAAAAAAAAAATCTTAGTAAAATTTTTAATCATTTTTTGAATTTACGTTTTTTCTTCAAATTTACAAACTGAGACAACTATTTATAAACCAAAAAAAATTATTAAACAAGTTTTTATGACAATTTTAAAAAATTTTGTAAACATAAATTGAAAACTGAAAACGAAATAGTTACCAAACAAGCTTTAGATGGTAAAAATGTCGTAAAATTAATAAATAATTAAATAAGTTACCAATGTAAGAAATGACTTATCAAAAAAAATTTAGGATATGTATGGTTTGATTTTTAGAAAAAAAAATTAAAAATTAAAAATTAATTTGGTTAAGAAATAAAAAATAAAAAATAATTATAATTTTTATATAATTTTTGTCTTTTGAGTGGTTAGAAATAATTTTTTACAAATTAAATTGGAACAACCATACATATGTATATAACCTGCCTAAAAGTTAAAATGATAATTATTTTTTACCCTTAAATGATAATTATTTTTTATTTCTTAACCAAATTAATTTTTGATTTTAATTTTTTTTCTTCTAAAAATCAAACCATACATAGCCTAAGAATCT